CAAACGCTTTATACCTTCGGAACATTATGGAATAAAAGAAGTATATACATCTATATACGTCTTTGATCGTATCGACCTGATTCAACTACCATAGTGGGGACCCCACATGTAACCTCAGCATGTATTCGCTGCGGTGCAACTCTGACATTCATTGGTGAGTGTGCGTGGTGTTCTTTACCGCATGTATACACTAAAGGTCACGGTACAATCTCAGTACATGACCACGGTAGTGCAACAACTAATGGTGTCTTCGTAATTGCTCATAATCGTCCTTTTTGCTTATTAAACTATGTTGCAAGGGGCATTATCAGCAGGACACTTAAAAAACTCAAGGATGGGTTCAATTTAAAGATAGACGATCATAGAGAATTTACGGTACACAAACTGTGCATGTCAGTCGCCAAATGTCAAGTCGTTTACTGTTATTGTAATTATGAGGGTGATTAGGCCTGTGGCGTCCCTGGGCTGAGGTTTAATCGTTGTGTTTTCGTACAATGACCAACATCACCCCTACGAAGCATTACACTGTCGGGAGTTTATCACAATAACGATGCGTGGAGATTAAGGGGCACCGGTTACCCCCAATAAGACATACAGGACGAATAACGTTAATTGCGTGGTAGTATGGATAAATGAAGGTACGACCTTGTCGGATCAACCAATGAAATAATGCGTGTGTCAAACCGGTTTGTAAAACTCGAACAAGAACTGTGCAGCAACAACAGGGAAACGATAGGGTGCCACCACTGTAAACAGACGATCCTGTCGCTGTGAGTATGTTTTTTTTAATTCAATGAACGGCTTTTGATTGGAAAGATAGCGTGTCTAAAAAACAACCCTAATATGATGATAGATGATGTCTGCAGGGTCTGCAAGACGCAACGAGTGGTTATGTTTTCTCGTGACCGGAGCGCTCGCATGAGTTGCCAAGTCAAGACTCGAATTGCGACACACTTGAAACCAACACACTAGGATTGGTTAAGCAATAGTAATTACAAATTACACATCCGTAAACATGTAGGGTATAGTTCCTTCAACACGCAGTGAGCAGGTTAGCACCCTAACTGCATATCACAGGTACGAATTCCTTATCAACATGAAAAGCCGCACGGCATAACGTTCATTGTAATCCGATAATCCCATAGTAAGTACTACATGTATTTTTTCTTGAGGTGGGGCAGTACACCATGGCGGTATTGCCATACATATCTGACAGGAAACAACAACTATTTCTGTATCAATCGACTAGAATAATGGGAATATGTTACAATTGCATTAATAGTGAGGTATTTTATATGCAACAAGCCCCCCGAAAAGGATGCAAAAGGTCAACGAAAATGTGTAATCTGAAACTGAAGAGCAAGATTCGGCACCGTCTGGTATGTTCTTGTTCTGCTGGTCCTGGTGAGGGGTATATTAAACCTAACAGAAACACTGAACATGCTGAATGCTATATATAGTATAGTATCCCCATGGTATGGGTTTTTGGATGCTTAAACATTGATTGTTTTCTTGCTAATCACAAGAACAGCTGTAAAAGATCTCACTCACATATAAAAGGCAAGTTTATCTTAAAAATAAGCCCTCATCTGAGTATTTACAATGTCTGTGTGATACCACTCCCCTCGTTATAGCATGAGTCATTTCGATAAACATTGCCGTCCTAAAACATATGATCCAAGATATAATACAGCTAAAGATGTTTATTAATACTAAATCGTCTAATTTTTACATCAATTTCTATTGTATGCTATAAATAGTATAGCTCAGTATCAATGTGTTGCTAACCCTACCGGGCTACCCTTTGTGACAAAATATTATAGAGATTCACCCTGGTTATGAGTATGACCTTGTGTGTTTATCAAAGTCGTCTGCACGGAGAGTGAAGGTCGGTGGGACCAAAAGACATAAGACACACTGTGTTGCGTGGGTGGCGTCTGTTTGGACTTGCAGGTGTGATCAGTGATGAGAACTCTTGTCATGACCTCAGCAGTGACAATACATAGGATGTAAATAGTGTTTGAATGACATTGTTGACAGTATATCTTGGTATATACTTTTTACAAGTGCTGCTCAATAAACAGTGGTGTTGAATACATAGTTGTTTGTTTTCAGCATATGTCTAAGTTGGTATTCCTGCTATCCAAAATGTCTTATTTTTATATAAATGCGATGTTTAATAATGCACGCAAAAGCCTTTCGCATTATTCGCATTTAATACATGCTCGCGTTAATTTCAAGATTTACAGTATTTCTTTTGCAGAGATTCATATAACCAGGACTCATCATGTCGAACAGTAGCAAGATTTGCGTCGCTGTCTTGATTGGCATAGGTCTTATAGCTGTTCTGGTTATCGCACTTGTAGCCACATCCCTGAAGAAGTTGGCATCAAATGAGGGTAAGAAGATATCAACAACCAGATAACCAACCACAAACCTGCTAACAATCAAATCAACATGAACTTATGCCAGACCTCCAGATAAGCTACATGTTTGTGTAAAATAGGCAAAATAACTTTCCTTTACCTGATTACTTTTGAGTGAGTGAGTTGGGTTTTAACGCCGCTTTTAACATTATTCCAGTTATATCATGGTGTGTCAGCTTAATGTGGGAGGAAAGCCCGAAGTGATGCAGGTCTCAGACGTTTACCACTTCGGTAAAACCCACGAGCACGGGTATGATGCTGACAAACCGAGAAACATAATCGGGAACTGGGAATTCGAACCCACAATCAAAGGTTTCTGGCGTGCCCAGGGGACGCAACTCTGCTCAGCGAATCATGGCGCCTTAGATGACTGGGCCACCCATGCCCCCCAATTACTTTTGAGTTGCATGCATACAAGTACTCATGAAAATTTTCCAAAATCTGTTAACATAACCATGATAACCATGATAACTGTGACCTGTATGTAACACCAAGATATTTGCTAATCCTCGACATGTAGTGGTTAAATGGTTTGATTATTTATGTATGATTAGTGATGGCAAAATCAGTACAATCAAGCAGGACATGCTTGACTGATTCTCTCATCAGAAGTTAGACAAAATGGAGCATCCTCACCTTACCATAAATATTCATGTGTATAAACTGGAAAAACTCATTGTATTTACATGATTTAAGTGTTGTGAAGTATGGTTTGAAGACCTCAGTTGGATGAGCAAATCCTCACCACTTTATCATTTGTTTATGTCACGTCAGACCCATGAGGATCCGGGCAAGAATAGGTCTTCAGCAGCCTATGCTTGTCTCCACCGTGAAGATCCAGGGTGGAATAGGTCTTCAGCAGCCCATGCTTGTCTCCCCGTGAAGACCCGGGGTAGAATAGGTCGTCAGCAACCCATGCTTGCTGTAAAAGGCGACTATGCTTGTTGTAAGAGGCGACTAACGGGATCAGGTGGTCAGGCTCGCTGACTTGGTTGATGCATGTCATCATATCCCAATTGCATGGATCAATGATCATCATGTCAATCACTGGATTGTCTGGTCCAGACTTGATTATTTACAAAGCAAAACAAAATATTTCAGGTCACCAGTGTTCCCGTTGACTGGTAATTACCAGTTTATTACAGGTAAAATTAGGCTTGGACCGTTAATTCATGTGACTGCCAGTCCCTGTGGACCGACAAATACTGAGTGAGTTAAAATGTAACGTCGCACAGACATTATTTCAGCCATATAGCGACTGGACCAGCAAATAAAGTACCTTGTAAATTTTTGTTGTTGAACAAAAACAATTGGGTAGAATTATGTTTAAAAAGCAGCCAACAGATCGATATCTTATTACCAGTTCTTTATTACGACATCACTAGAACTGCATTTCCAAGTCTTATCTGGACAGAATATTGAACACAGGTTTCTCTATTGTCTGGAAACCTAGTACATATTATTCCTCTTGGTACATGTTGTAATTATGGTAACAATTTTTACAGTTGGAATCGCTTATGACAAGTTTCAAAAGAAATTGTCAGATACAGTGAAGAATGAAGGTTTGCACAATGGACCTCCAGGATTTGAATTCATCATCTTCCCCAATGTGTACACGACGATGAACTTCAGATCTCTGTCAGTAAGTATTTGGATGAATGTTGTTCTGTGTGAATGTTCTGTGTTAATGTTGTTCTCTGTGAATGTTGTTTATTGTTGCCATGACCATGTTTACATGCTTCAGGAATCTATCTGTGATCTGTGTGTACATGAGTGATGTGTCTGTGATCTGTGTTTACATGTGTGATGTGTCTGTGATCTGTGTGTACATGGGTGATGTGTCTGTGATCTGTGTGTACATGTGTGATGTGTCTGTGATGTGTGTGTACATGTGTGATGTGTCTGTGATCTGTGTGTACATGTGTGATGTGTCTGTGATCTGTGTGTACATGTGTGATGTGTCTGTGATCTATGTGTACATGTGTGATGTGTCTGTGATCTGTGTAGATGTGTGATGTGTTTGTGATCTGTGTGTACATGTGTGATGTCTGTGATCTGTGTGTACATGTGTGATGTGTCTGTGATCTGTGTGTACATGTGTGATGTGTCTGTGGTCTGTGTGTACATGTGTGATGTGTCTGTGATCTGTGTGTACATGTGTGATGTGTCTGTGATCTGTGTGTACATGTGTGATGTGTCTGTGATCTGTGTGTACATGTGTGATGTGTCTGTGATCTGTGTGTACATGTGTGATGTGTCTGTGATCTGTTTACATGTGTGATGTGTCTGTGATCTGTGTACATGGGTGATGTCTCTGTATCACCTATCTTCATCACCCTTCTGTCACCCATCTGTGTCATCTGTCTCTTCCAACTATTTGTAACCCATTTGCATCACCCATCTGCATCACCATCTTCCTCTACTATCTGTATCTACATCTCTGTCACCCATTAGCATCACCCATGTGTATCACCCATCTGCATCATCCATCTCCATCGCCCATCTCTGTCACCCATCTGTATCACCCATCTACATCACCCATCTACATCACCATCTGTATCACCCATCTGTATCACCCATCTGCATCACCCATCTGCATCACCATCTGTATCACCCATCTGAATCACCCATCTGTATCACCCATCTGCATCACCCATCTGCATCACCCATCTGAATCACCCATCTGTATCACCCATCTGCATCACCCATCTACATCACCCATCTGTATCACCCATCTGTATCACCCATCTGTATCACCCATCTGCATCACCCATCTGCATCACCATCTGTATCACCCATCTCCATCGCCCATCTCTGTCACCCATCTACATCACCATCTGTATCACCCATCTGAATCACCCATCTGTATCACCCATCTGCATCACCCATCTGCATCACCCATCTGTATCACCCATCTGAATCACCCATCTGTATCACCCATCTGCATCACCCATCTGCATCACCCATCTGCATCACCCACCTGTATCACCCATCTCCAATGCCCATCTATATCACCCACCTGTATCACCCATCTGCATCACCCATCTGCATCACCATCCGTATCACCCACCTGTATCACCCATCTGCATCACCCATCTGCATCTGCCATCTCTGTCACCCATCTGCATCACTATCTGCATCCACCATCTGCATCTGCCATCTCTGTCACCCATCTGTATCACCCATCTGCATCACCCATCTGCCTCTACTATCTGTATCACCCATCTGTATCACCCATCTGCATCACCCACCTGCATCACCCATCTGCATCACCATCTGAATCACCCATCTGTATCACCCATCTGCATCACCCATCTGCCTCTACTATCTGTATCACCCATCTGCATCACAACCTGTATCACCCATTTGCATCACCCATCTGCATCACCCATCTACCTGACTGTTGCAGTGCCTCAACAAGGATGGTGTGACCATCACCCTGGACGTGGCGTACCAGTACAAGGCCAGGGTCACACATATCAAGGACATCATCCTCAAATTTAAAGACTTTGATGGCTACAAGGATATTTTAAAGTATACAGGTGTGTTCTCTTTCCACTTCCATGCCTCACAATGTTACATACTGGCAGATGTGCACAGTATAACCGCAATACCACGATATGAAATACTAAGGAATACATATCACGATATGTTTCTAATATACTGGTATATTGTGTTTCTTAAAATCATGCATATCTTCATCTTGTTGTAAAATTTTAATCCTGTACAAAAGTAATAAATCAAATTGAAATTATAAAATTTCACTGCATTGTCTGGTCCAGACTTAATTATTCATTGTTGAGTGCGGCTTTAAACAATGACAAAACAAATATCAGGAGTAAGCACTAGGATGTGGCGTGTCCTTCGTGTGATGTGAGATTCAGGTTACTATGGTAACTGCAGGTTCAGCAGCCCTCCACGAGGCGTGCAGCTTGTTCAACACATCCCAGGTGCAGGCCGAGCGGGGAGCCTTTCAGGAGATGGTGAGACAGAAGCTAAGAGAGAGATACGATGTGCTCAAGTGTGACATCACCGATCTCCAGGTGAGTCTGTGTCTAGAGAGGACATCAATACTAGAACTGGGAAGATCCGGGTTAGCTGGTTAGAACTGGTCTTCAGCAACCCATGCTTGTCGTAAGAGGCGACTAACGGGATCGGGTGGTCAGACTCGATGACTTGGTTGACGCATGTCATCATATCCCAATTGCGTGGATCGATGCTCGTGATGTCAATCACTTGATAGTCTGATCCAGACTTGATTATTCACAGACCGCAGTCATATAGCTGGAATATTACCGACAACAAACAAACAAAAACTTACTGGTAATCCAGGAGAAGTTGAGTTGTGACCTGACAGTCAACTCCTTATGACTATGTATGACATCAGCCCACTACCACGTACCATTGTGACAAACAAACAAAAGTCTGTGTCGACAGAGGACATTAATACTAGATAGATAGGAAGGATACTGAGGGCAAGTGTACCTGAACATGATGACTTATATAGTTTTGCACTATGAAAGATGGATATCTGTATTTAATACATCAAAACCTGCCTAGGCAAATCTAGTTAGCTATGTTCCATATAAAATAAACTTGAATTGAAATGTATGCAGCAATCTGATTGGTTAAAGAGTGATGTTCCTTGGGATTCAGAGCCTGGAAATCTGTCTGACCATTCATCTCATCATCATCTCATATGAATACTTTTCTTGATAAAAATCTTTTTCTAAATACTTAAATTAGATATTATGTTTAATCAATATTTACCAGAAAAACTTTTGATGTACCATAGCTGATTTTTTTTTCCAGGCGAATTCAATTATGACAGAACCATGTGACATCATCCCATTCTAGGGTGATACATAGCTGTCTCTGTCTCAATTGTGATGGCTTCATTTTAATATTGAACTTATTCTAAGTGTACCATATTTGCCGTAACAAGTGCTCTTGGAAAATTGATAAAGGGGATGCATATGCTATATAGCAGTATAGTAAAACCATTCATTAAGAGAGAGTTATATTTGATGTCAGTGATTGAGTGTGACAGACTAATCTAGTTTAAACGCCAATGAAACTAAAGCTTTTGAGATAGTAGGTTACCATGGTTACTAGACATGATTGACAAATTTTATTGTATTTTACCTTACGGTAAGCAATGTTTTAACAATGTTATAATTTTTTTCGTTAATACCACAAACCATTGACTTCATTAAATTTATTAAATTTAATTTAATATTGTCAGCTTTTGGTATTTGTCAGGGAATGCAGTTTTTACAAAATTTCCATGGATAATAAGGGACACAACCCACTGGACATACTGGCCCTCTCATGTCAGGTGACATAATTAGCTGTGAGGAGTTGTGTCCCTTAGGCATGCCAGAAACGTATGGTAGAATGTTCAATCCTGGTTCACCCAGATTATGTATTAAGGTTGTAGACACCGATTCTCATGGGTTTCACCCAAGTGGTAATACCCGTGAAGAACCAGGGTATAATAGTTCTTCAGCAACCCATGCTTGTCATAAAAGGTGACTGTTTGTCGTATAAGGCAACTATGCTTGTCGTAAAAGGCGACTAACAGGATTGGGTGGTCGCGATCGCTGACTTGGTTCATGCATGTCATTTCCCAATATTGCTGAGTGCGGCATGAATGAATATTGAAATTCTCTTGCCCAGGGACTTACAATATTGATCACCTGGGAGAGATCTATAAGTGCTCATGGTTTACAAGTTATTGTCCACCTGCTGAGTTACTGCAGAATCTTCATGTTTATTGCACCCAGATTAGAAATTCATATGTTGCCCCTACTTTTGATATTTTCATCACATTCATCACAAATTAAACACAGAAGTATTGAAATATATTTGTAACATATTTTCAAGTTACTGTTTTGGGCAATTTATCAAGACAGGTAGATTGCAGTTGCCCTTTTCCACTGAAGGTGAGATGAAGTGAAATGGGGTTTAACGTTGCATCCAAAATTATTGCACTTATATAGCGACATGCATACACATGTGTGTGTGTGGCTGCTTGTATTAGTCCAGACTGATGCCGATTTATAGTGCTAACCCACTGAGGTACCATGCCGCAGTTTAACATGAATACCCCACTCAGACACAGTATACTGACTCCGAGCCAACCAGTCCTAGTGGTTCGCTCGTCATGCCGAAGACCCGGGTTTGATTCCCAACGTGGGTACAATGTGTGAAGCCCATTTCTGGTGTCCCCCACCGTGATATTCCTGGAATATCGCTAAAAGCGGCGTAAAACTATAATCACTCAGTCAGTCAGTCACCTTTCTTGAGTGGCTTTTCTTACAATGTGTTTCTAGACTGAGTTTAAAGACTGTTCCCCTTGAGCACTTGACCAAATGCCCCAATTGCCCCCATCTTGACGTTTCCCAAAACAAGAAAGCCCTGTGGGTACGTTTGTCTGACCTTATTTGAAATAGCTGCATTACTTTCCGTATGGGATCTATTGGTAAGTGTTTTATTGTTGCTCAATTATTTCAGGTAAACAATATTGAGCGTCCCAGAGAATACGAGTCATCCATCAGAAGCAAGGAACGAGCAAGAGAAGATATCCAGGTCAGTAGCCTGATTCAGAAGGAAGGTACACAGTGAAATAGTGGAAGTTGGATGGAAGGGCACTCAGGTTAGCAGAGGAAATCAGTTGCTAGGACACTCAGGTTAGCAGTGGAAAACAGTTGCCAGCACAGTCAGGTTAACAGTGGAAATCAGTTGCTAGGACACTCAGGTTAGCACTGGAAAACAGTTGCTAGGACACTCAAGTTAGCTGTGGAAATCAGTTGCTAGGACACTCAGGTTAGCAGAGGAAATCAGTTGCTAGGACACTCAGGTTAGCAGTGGAAAACAGTTCCAAGGACACTCAGGTTAGCAGTGGAAAACAGTTGCTAGGACACTCAAGTTAGCTGTGGAAATCAGTTGCTAGGACACTCAGGTTAGCAGTGGAAAACAGTTGCTAGGACACTCAAGTTAGCTGTGGAAATCAGTTGCTTGGACACTCAGGTTAGCAGTGGAAAACAGTTGCCAGGACAGTCAGGTTAACTGTGGAAAACAGTTGCCAGGACAGTCAGGATAACTGTGGAAAACAGTTGCCAGGACAGTCAGGTTAGCAGAGGAAATCAGTTGCTAGGACACTCAAGTTAGCTGTGGAAATCAGTTGCTAGGACACTCAGGTTAGCAGTGGAAAACAATTGCTAGGACACTCAGGTAAGCTGTGGAAATCAGTTGCTAGGACACTCAAGTTAGCTGTGGAAATCAGTTGCTAGAATAAATACTCAAGTTGGCATTGGAAATAGTTGCTAGGACACTCAGGTTAACTGTGGAAATCAGTTGCTAGTACACTCAATTTAGCTGGGGAAATCACTTCCGGGTATACTCAGGGGTAAACCATGCTTATCTAGGTGGTGGGACATTTCCATTGTAAGCTGCAGATCGCTTAAGATGAATTGGTAGTTATACTATAGTTGTACGTTCTTCAGGTTGCTGTAAATGAGCGTCCTCGTCTCCTGACCGAGGCTAAGACAGAGAGAAGAGAGGCAGAGACACAGGCACAGATCATCTTGGACAAGGCCCGCTCTGAAGCCAGGATCCTGGAGAACCAGTGAGTAGTCCCCTGCTTACAGGGAGTAACTGAACACATTCCATCTTGACATCATGCAAAGATTTGTTATTTCTCCGATTGTAAGCATTTCTGTCTTAATCCCTCCATGGGTAGCCGCGGGTTAGAGTTGGTACCCAGACATCTATGGTGGTAGTGGCACTTGGTCCTGTACACAGCGCACAGGTCACAAATCAGGTGAAGTTAAGCGACGCTGGTCTCGGAGAGTAGTTGAATGGGTGACCACTTTCAGCAGCTTGACTCCTGAGAGTTTCTAGGGCTTCGGTCCTGCCCCACACTGAAGCACATGTACCACATGTGGTGTCTCCTTAGGCATGTGGTGTTTCCTTGTTCGAAATGTGCCTCTGTTCACCCAGCAGTGAGTGGGTACCCGGTAGGATGAGATAGTAATGTGGCTGTTAACCTTATAGCGCCTCACAGGCAGCTTGGGTTGTATACTCCCCAGGGAGCTGAGAATGAAAAATCGAGTGCTCACTGATCCATTGACCGGGGTAATGATAGTGTAGTGCGATGAGCATCCACTTGGTGAATGGAATCTGGCGCATTATAAATGCACTTATTATTATTATTATTATGCTGGTCCTAAAAGGTGACTTAATGGATCAGGGGGTGACCTGGGGGATAGTGTGTCTTTGCACCCTAACAAAGTGGATCATTGGTCATGATATCAATCACTGATGTGTCTGGATCAGACTCGATTATTTACATGTCAGTGTTTAGCTGGAATCTTGCTGAGTGCGTCATTTAAGAACTAACAGCTGACCTTGTAACATGTTGCATGCTTTTTATACATAGTATAGATATAGTCAATACCTTGTCTGCCTGTCCGTTCGTCTGTAATCATTTCGTTTCTGTTCATAGTTGTGTGTACCTGACATAGAAATACGAAGTTCCCAATCCCAATTCGGTAGTATTGTTTTGATAGCCCAATAACTACTCTTGTATACAGACAGATTAGATAGAAATTGTCTCATCAAGTTAAACTTAAAGTAACAGTCAGATGACATGTTCTTTTGAATTTGTGAGAACCGGGGGGATTTGTCATCTTTGATGACTCTTGTCTGTGTTTGTCATCTATACTGAGGAGCTACAACATCCTTGCTTGTCCCCAGGGCGAGAGCAGAGGCGGAGGCTATCCAGACCCAGTATGAGAAGGAGGGAGAGGCGTATGAGTCTATCCTCAGCTCTAACGGGCTCGGCTTCACCACCGAGGGCTTTATCTCCTACATGGGCGTCCGCGTCATCTCCTCCGCCAAGAACCCTGTCTTCATCGGACTGCAGAGCCCAGCCAAGTCTTCATACATGACCCCCTAGAGCTGGTATCATCACACCCCAGTAAGACAGGTGCTTATAGGCTGCTGCTTTTCACAACGTGTCAAGAACCGAAAACATCGATGATTTTTGGCGTCATGAAAGAAGTGTTGCTGTTTAAGTTTGTAAGAAGTGGTCTATTTTAAATTCTCTCCGAAACTATTAAAAGGTGGAGGTCAATACTATTGTGATAATCAATTACTGTACAACATGGTTATAAACTATATTAGACTTTTGAAATGTTTCGACCCCCTTCACTTCATATACATGTCAACTCACTCACAGAGTTGTGGATGTATTTCATATTCAAATTCATAAAAATTGGTATTTTTTTCAAATAGTCACAGAATAAAAATCAAAAACTATTGCAGCCCGAGAATTAAATTGAAAAGAGCTCAGGTGTACTCAGGTAAGAAAATTAATTTTTGCGTCGTTATTGACATTTGTTGACAAATGTTTGTATGTATATCTGCATTCCTAATAACCATGTTCTACTGTAATTTGAATTGTCAATCAAGACATGTCTTAGGATCTCCAGCTGAAGATAATCTGGTGATGATATTGCAGACTCCTGTGTTGAACTTACATTTTTCCATTTTTGATGAATTCTTGAATGTGTCTGTTATGTTTATTAGACGTTTGTTTTGTCCTGCCATACAAGATAAGATCCCTGATGTCGATGTGCACTAATTATTGTGAAGAATATTCACTGTTGTCTGATGTCCATGGGTTCTACACACAGTAGCGTCTCTTAATTTTCAAAATGTTTTTTTTTTATTGAGATATCTTTTATCATACGATTCTGTGTATTTTGCTTACTTATAAGTTGATACTTCATTCTCTGTTCTTACATAAACAAATGTATTGTATATATGAACATTATGAATGAAATTGTATCTTGATCTGAAAATATGGATTTTAAGTGGATTTTAAAATTTGTATTCATGTAATGATATTTTAAAATTTGTGTTGATCACTTTTCTTTACTTTTTATATAAATGTGATGACTATATTTATATTTATCAGTATGATGATAATATCCAATTGTTTAACCCCCATTTCCCATGACAATGGTAATACTATGCGTGTTATAACCTGATAACCAACCTATCTGTATAATATTACCCATATGGTGGAATGATCGTGTGTTATAGCTTCCCAATATTTGCTCATGTGCGTTTTTTCAATGCTCAATGCTGATTGGTCATTTGAAGTCTTATGACATCACAGTGCTTCATTGTTTGGAAACATAGGATATGACATCATCCATTGTTCATAATTTTATAAATTGATTACATTACGTCATTTGAACAAAAGGCTTCCTTCAGTGAAGTTCCTCTGTACGGGTGACATCTTGCATACGTTTCTTCTCCATTTTCTCTCTTAAAATGCAAATGAGTAATATATAGTATAACCTACTCAAAACTTGGAAATAACAGAATCTCTTTCTTTTGTTAATTAATGTTGCTGGTGACTGGTGACTTCAGGATTAACACTGTTTATTCACTCGGAACAGATAATCTATAATTCCTCGTAGCTCATTAATATTGTCTATTTCTTCCTTCTGTTACGTCAAGTGACAACATTTTACATTAAAAGGAAAATAGGTTAGAGTGGTGTACCATGACATCCAGAGAACAATGTATGTTCACATAGGATTTGGATGTGTGCCTTCGTAACCTGGCAACACAGGGTGTTGCTCATGCTATCAACCACTGGTTTGTCTGACCCACACTTTTACAGACTGTTGTAATGTGACTGTATTTTGTTCACTCATGGTGATGTTATGCCTGGTTTGTTTTTTGTCAAAAATTCATCAAGATTTATCAAAACTTGAAGTTTGCATAGCATCCATAAGAAACAACTAAAGCATTACCAGTACATATTTTGTATATGATAGTCATAATTCTAAGACATATATGGTTATGATCAATGATGCAGCTCTTGAAGAAGAATGCACACATTCACCAAGAAAGTCAAATTTGTGATATTCTCTTTTGGGGTAAACCTATTTTATTCATCCTCTATATACACACATGGTCTGTTGTTTGATGGTATTGGTTATTGGTTTATGGTATATATAGAGCCTCACCCACATGTCTTTTGATATCAAATATTTCAACACGAGTCAATAGACGTTCAAAATTTCGAGTTTTATCATACCTCCATATCAGAATTAAGAGATCTGATTGGTCCACGTAATCTTGATAAAATACTATGTATCCCAACATGGAGGGAAATAATTTCTCAGCGGGAGAATAAATCCCTTATACCCCACCATGATCTAAAAGGCTCTGCATGGATTTCTGAGAGGCAGAATAAATCCCTTTTATCTTGCTTCCAAGCAAAAAGCTGCATGCTTTTTCTGAGTCAATGAAAGTGACATAGCACAAGTTAACCTCAGCCTAATCGAACAGCTGTTTTCTATCAATGTTGTATTTGTTTTTATATATTTACAATGTCATATTAAAACATGTCGGGGGGTCGGGTAGCCTTGTGGTTAAAGCGTTCAATCGTCATGCCGAAGACCCGGGCTCGATTCCCAACATGGGTACAATGTACTCAATCACTCACTAAAACATGTCAGTGAGATAAATTTGTTGTAGCAGGATCGCTAGGGGTACATGGTTTTTTTATGCATCCCTCGTTAGGTTTCGTATCACTCATAAAACCTAACAAGGATGCATAAAAAACCCGGTACAACAAATGATCCTGCTACAACTTATATTGATATATTTAATATCAAAAGATGTTAAGTTGAGATTCTATTTATCATTAAAAAATCATTCTTCCAACTCTTTCAGTTTGTAAACAGAAATACCCAGTGTCTTGAGTGTGAAAAGTACAGCTAACCAACTTCAGTGGCAGGGATATCAGTGATCTCCTTTGATATTGACGTCATGGTAACCAATGACCTCACAATGGTCTGCAAAGCATTGTGATGCAATTATATTCCAGCGATCCCCCTGGGGAAGCCAGTTTTGGATGATAAATGTATTTATCAGTTTGCGTCTGAGGAATATTTGTCAACAGTAATGGGACATGCCCATGCTTGTAGGTTCCATCTAATGTCGGACAACTATGGTTGGAAAGTGGAAATGCAATATTGTTATTGTTTTATACATTTGTTCTTTCGTGTGCATAATATCCTTTCATATCTGGCTTTATTCCTGTTTAGTATAATATTTGTGAACTACAATACTCTTTCTGTGTCCTGTCATCATTAAGCTTGTGGTAACAGTTGCTGTATCATATAAATGAGGGTGCTGACATACCACTTAATTTATCTTGGCATCCGATTTAAGAACTCTTGAGTCATGTCAGTATATAAGTAATTTAGACATGGATTTTCCACATAGAATGCATGACCTTGTGTTGTCATAAGGTTAGGGCTAACCATTTTGTTGATTTGTCCGTCTTTGCGAGAAAAAAAGACAAAAAATAAATTTAAACATTGACATATTGTCATCTGTGTACCAGTTAGATGTTTTATGGCATCCAGCATGCTGCACTGCAGCACCCGGAATAACACTTAGCAGTGGTATACTAAAAGCAGGTTGGCCCCCTCATAAACAGTAATAACCATTAAAATTGGAGTATTTTCTGGACACTTCATGTGTTGGAGAGAACTCATCCCTGTCTGTAGATGCTCCTAGAACAAATATTATTCTTTGACCATTGCCTAGCCCTTCCAAGAAGAAATGTGCTTCATGGACCATTGTCTAGCCCCTCCTAGAACAAATGTGCTTCTTGGACCATTGTCTAGCCTCACCTAGAACAAATATGCTTCTTGGTCCATTGTCTAGCCTCACCTAGAACAAATATGCTTCTTGGACCATTGTCTAGCCTCACCTAGAACAAATATGCTTCTTGGTCCATTGTCTAGCCTCACCTAGAACGAATATGCTTCTTGGACCATTGTCTAGCCTCACCTAGAACAAATATGCTTCTTGGTCCATTGTCTAGCCCCTCCTAGAACAAATATGCTTCTTGGACCATTGTCTAGCCCCTCCTAGAACAAATATGCTTCTTGGACCATAGTCTAGCCCCTCCTAGAACAAATATGCTTCTTGGACCATTGTCTAGCCCCTTCTAGAACAAATATGCTTCTTGGACCATTGTCTAGCGTTTCCTAGAACAAATGTGGTTGGTTGTACCTTTGTCTAGTCCCTCCTAGAACAAATGTTGGAAGTCGGACCTTAGTTTAGTCCTGCCAAGAACAGATATGGATATTAGGAACTTTGTCTAACCCCTCCTTCAACACATGTGGGTAGTTGGGCCTTGTGTCTAGACCCTCACAGAACAAACACAGGTGATTGGTCCCAGTGTCTGGCTCTCCATAGAACAAGTAAGGGTAGTTAGACTGTTTGCCCATTGTGGATATATAACAATGAAATATTGTGTATAATAGGGGCATTGGACTATGTGTGTTTGTTTTGTATTTATGTGAACTGACAGTGTGTTGATTGTTGTCTGCAAGATTAATCTGCTGGCAGGTATACAGATAGGTCTGTTATCTGTGATAGCCCTGGATACAGATCAACCTACGACATGCCTGGATAGAAATTCATCTGCAACATCCGTTGAACAGATCCATCTGTTATCTTTGACATCCCTGGATACAGATCCATCTGTTATCTGTGACATCCCTGGATACAGATCCATCTGTTATCTGTGACATCCCTGGATACAGATCCATTTGTTATCTGCGATAGCCCTGGATACAGATCCATCTGTCATCTGCGATAGCCCTGGATACAGATCCATCTGTTATCTGTGACATCCCTGGATACAGATCCATTTGTTATCTGCGATAGCCCTGGATACAGATCCATCTGTTATCTGCGATAGCCCTGGATACAGATCCATCTGTTATCTGCGATAGCCCTGGATACGGATCCATCTGTTATCTGTAACATCCCTGGATACAGATCCATCTGTTATCTGCGATAGTCCTGGATACAGATCCATCTGTTATCTGTAACATCCCTGGATACAGATCCATCTGTTATCTGCGATAGTCCTGGATACAGATCCATCTGTTATCTGTGACATCCCTGGATACAGATCCATCTGTTATCTGCGATAGTCCTGGATACAGATCCATCTGTTATCTGTGACATCTCTTGATACAGATCCATCTGTTATCTGTGACATCCCTGGATACAGATTTGTCTGGTAATCTGTGACATGTGCCTGGCAGCATCTAGGGACCATGTGGTATTTGTATAGGTTTTTTTGGGTGTATGAGTTGATCTTAGGTTATCTTTCTCTAGGTACAACTTTCAACATATCACTCAATTCTCTATTCCCACAGATGTTTATATGTCATCTTTGTTAAATTTCTGGAAAGGTTTAACAGTGTATATGTTTCCTGGAGCCATAACCGATGAACATGTATCTGTTGTGTGTGTATGAAATAAATTGTTAATGTACATTGTGAGTGTTGTGGGTATTTGGCAGATACAAAAGGTTAAACAAAAGCCATTCCATAGCTGCAAGAAATCTCTGCTGCAAGCAGAGTCGATTGCAGGATTCTGACTGTATCATGAGTTGTTTGATTACTATCAAACAGTGACGATATCAGGTGTTCACGAAAAGGTGAACATATCTTGCCTCACCAGTGGCACCTGTCGCATACACTAGCAAAGGCTAGTTCATGGTTCTCATGTGAACATATGGTACAAGTCAAAATAGAAATTTGCATCGGACATCATATAATCTTAACCCTGCATACAAAAAAAAGTAAAACTGGAAATGCGATATAAATGGTAAATCATCATGTCTTGTGATGTTTTATAAAAAAAATATGTAGGAATCAGTGGTGGATTATGGTGAAATCAGTGGTGGAATATGTAGGAATCAGTGGTGGAATATGCAGGATCCAGTAGTGGAATATGTAGGGATCAGTGGTGAAATATGTAGGAATCAGTGGTGGAATATGTAGGGATCAGTGGTGAAATATGTAGGCATCAGTGGTGGAATATGTAGGAATCAGTGGTGAAATATGTAGGAATCAGTGGTGAAATATGTAGGAATCAGTGGTGGAATATGTAGGCATCAGTGGTGAAATATGTAGGAATCAGTGGTGGAATATGTAGGAATCAGTGGTGGAATATGTAGGCATCAGTGGTGAAATATGTAGGAATCAGTGGTGGAATATGTAGGGATCAGTGGTGAAATATGTAGGCATCAGTGGTGGAATATGTAGGAATCAGTGGTGGAATGTGCAGGATCCAGTGGTGGAATATGCAGGATCCAGTTGTGGAATATGTAGGAATCAGTGGTGGAATATGCAGGATCCAGTAGTGGAATATGTAGGGATCAGTGGTGGAATATGCAGGATCCAGTAGTGGAATATGTAGGAATCAGTGGTGGAATATGCAGGATCCAGTAGTGGAATATGTAGGGATCAGTGGTGGAATGTGCAGGATCCAGTGGTGGAATGTGCAGTATCCAGTGGTGGAATGTGCAGTATCCAGTGGTGGAATGTGCAGTATCCAGTGGTGGAATGTGCAGGATCCAGTGGTGGAATATGCAGTATCCAGTGGTGGAATATGTAGGATCAAGTGGTGGAATGTGCAGGATCCAGTGGTGGAATATGCAGTATCCAGTGGTGGAATATGTAGGATCAAGTGGTGGAATGTGCAGGATCCAGTGGTGGAATATGCAGGATCCAGTTGTTGAATATGTAGGATCCAGTGGTGGAATATGCAGGATACAGTGGTGGAATATGAAGGATCCAGTGGTGGAATGTGTAGGATCCAGTGGTGGAATGTGCAGGATCCAGTGGTGGAATATGCAGGATCTAGTTGTTGAATATGTAGGATCCAGTGGTGGAATATGCAGGATCCAGTTGTTGAATATGTAGGATCCAGTGGTGGAATATGTAGGATCAAGTGGTGGAATGTGCAGGATCCAGTGGTGGAATATGCAGGATCCAGTTGTTGAATATGTAGGATCCAGTGGTGGAATGTGCAGGATACAGTGGTGGAATATGAAGGATCCAGTGGTGGAATGTGTAGGATCCAGTGGTGGAATGTGCAGGATCCAGTGGTGGAATATGCAGGATCTAGTTGTTGAATATGTAGGATCCAGTGGTGGAATATGCGGGATCCAGTTGTTGAATATGTAGGATCCAGTGGTGGAATATGCAGGATACAGTGGTGGAATATGTAGGATCCAGTGGTGGAATGTGCAGGATCCAGTTGTGGAATATGCAGGTTCCAGTGGTGCAATATGCAGGATCCAGAAGTGGAATATGCAGGATACAGTGGTGGAATATGCAGGATCCAGAAGTGGAATATGCAGGATCCAGTGGTGGAATATGCAGGATACAGTGGTGGAATATGCAGGATCCAGTGGTGCAATATGCAGGATCCAGAAGTGGAATATGCAGGATACAGTGGTGGAATATGCAGGATCCAGAAGTGGAATATGCAGGATACAGTGGTGGAATATGCAGGATCCAGTGGTGGAATATTCAGGATCCAGAAGTGGAATATGCAGGATACAGTGGTGGAATATGTAGGAATCAGTGGTGGAATATGCAGTGTCCAGTGGTTCAGTGTTCATCGACAATCGATTGGCAGATCATGCCACAAAGAGTCTACATGACAAAATGCCACAAAATACGTCGAGTACATGTCCACAATGTACACCATGCAGGTTTTAAAGGAGTCAACTCAAACCAATAACTTTTACCAAGGAAGAAATCTTTTCAGAAAGTTGCAGAGTGCCGCCCACAGTGGACACACTGAGCATCTTTTCCAGTAGTTCCAGTCTTTGGTTTCTACATAATCACAACATCTGCTTTCTTCAAGATTTTAAAGAGCGTCATATGAATTGCGCAATAGATGTTTGATAACTGTTACAACATTCAAGGCCTTAGTATAGTTTTTTACAACGTTTTATGGCAGACACGTGGAGGACATATCCAAATTTGACGTATCAGTGACAGAAACGTTGCAATTCCATATGTTGACTTCCAGGTGCTTTTTCAGGCGAACAATTACCTGCCTTTGCATGTGTTTGTGACGCGTGCCATTTTTTCATATGATATGAAGAGTAAACGATTGGACCTGTGCCATGGATAGCCTGGTCCACTATCACTGAATTGTTTGGACAAGACTCGTTTGTTTACAGGTCGCCATCGTATAACAGTCGTACTGCTGTGCGGGGTTAGTCAACGCTCAATTACCTATTTTTATGCAAATTGTGTGGCGGGTGCTACGGTTGTCCTTGTCACGAACACCAGCCATCATCACTGAGTTTCAGTGAACCATTCATACATTGTCACCACCAGTTCGCCTTTTGTGTCCAGTCGGGTCTGTGTCGGCAGATAATCAAGACTGGTTGTTCTCTGGCGTTGACGTTTTATATAATGTGAGTGAGTGAGTGAGTATGATTTTACGCCGCTTTTAGCAATATTCCAGCAATACCACGGCGGGGGACACCAGAAATGGGCTTCACGCATTGTACCCATGTCGGGGATCGAACCCGGGTCTTCGGCGTGACGAGCGACCGCTTTAACCGCTAGGCTACCCGACCGCCCCAATAGGAAGTGTAAACAAGTGGATCTGTGTTCTATGATAGGAATGGTTGACATTTAGACCTGTGTGATATAGTACGAAGGGTAAATGAGTGAATCTGTGTTCTATAATATAAGGAGGGTAGCCTAGTGGTTAAAGCGTTGGCTCGTCACACCGAAGACCCGGGATCGATTCCCGACATGGGTACAATGTGGGAAGCTCATTTCTGTTGTCCCCCGCCGTGATATTGCTGGAATATTGCTAAAAGCGGCGTAAAACCATACTCAGTCAGTCACCTTTTGTCAGTGACATTTCTGACAATGTGTTTCTAGACTGAGTTTATAGACTGTTCCCCTTTAGCACTTGACCAAATGCCCCCATTGCCCCCATCTTGACGTTTCCCAAAACAAGAAAGCCCTGTGGGTAAGTTTGTCTGACCTTATTTTGAATAGCTGCATTACTTTCTGTATCGTGGTATTGCTGGAATATTGCTAAAAGCGGCGTAAAACCATACTCAGTCACTATAATAGGAAGGGTAAACAAGTGGATCGTGCTTCTATAACAGGAAACGTAAACGATTAAATCTGTGTTCTATAACAGAAGGGTAAACACGTGGGCCTGTGTTCTATAAGAGGAAGGGTAAACAAATTGATCAGGTTTACGACAAACCTCTAAATAAAGGTTGTGTAGCATGGACATATCCCCTATGGTGGGACCATTATTTGGTATGGCACAACTCGGAATAGCCGCGCCACTGGATCAATCGAACCAGATATTTGGTTTGGTTTGTTGTTTTACGCCGCACTCAGCAATATTCCAGCTATATGACGTCGGTCTGTATATAATCGAGTCAATCCAGTGATTTACATCATGAACATCGATCCACACAATTGGGATCGATGACATGCATCAACCAAGTCAGCGAGCCTGACCACCCGATCCCGTAGGTCGCCTTTTACGACAAGCATAGTCGCCTTTTACGGCAAGAACCAGAGAATTTATACCACTGGGAAATACTTACAGCAAATATCTTTAGAACTGTTTTCCCGTGGATTGTATACGTTTATTATCTACTTCAAAGGTCAACGCAGTGTCAACGCTGTAAAATGACTTCACCAGTAGGCTAGATATGTATACATTTAATCCCAAAACAGTTCTATACACGTGGTCAATGTAGTCTTCGAGCCAGCTCAATGGCGAAAGCTTTTAGTCCCGTGAGTGTATCTGCTGCAACGATGGGTATTTGCGAGGGGCTAAGGATGAAGCCCGTGTACCCTCCGACCGAGTCCCGTGGGGGTAACTCCACAGTGTAGGAGTACTTGATTCCACAAGCGCCCTTGGCATAGTCATCGGACCCCCCAGCGGCTGGATCTGCAAGGGTTATAGAAACTTGCTTAGTGAGTGAGTTGGGTTTAACGCCGCTTTTAACAGTATTCCAGCTATATCACGGCGTGTCAGCTTAATGTGGGAGGAAAGCCCGAAGTGATGTAGGTCTAAGACGTTTACCACTTCGGTGAAACCCAAGAGCACGGGTATGGTGCTGACAAACCTAGAAACATAATCGGGGCGAACCGGGATACGAACCCACAATCATAGGTTTCTGGCATGCCCAAGGGATGCAACTCTGCACAGCGAATCGCGGCGCCTTAGACGACTGGGCCACCCGTGCCCCCTGAAACTTGCTTACAACGTGTAGTCATTACAGCATTCTTGTGTGCTTTGAGCATACACTGCGTGTGGAGTTATGCGTTTTACAAGTGTACTATTAATAGTATTATTAATAAACCATGGTATTTTGGAATTGGGTGTAATTATCAAGGGAAAACAAATGGTTATGAGTTGAATGTCATGTATGTTGCAACGACAATTATATTGAAGCATTCCCGGGCGCCTCTATGTCAGTTTGTTTGTTGTTTAACGCCGCACTCAGCAATACTCAAGCTGTATGACGGCGGTCTGTAAATAATCGAGTCTGGACCAGACAATCCAGTGATTGACATCATGAGCATCGATGTGCGCATTTGGGATACGATGACTTTCATCAACCAAGTCACCGCGTCTGACCACCAGATCCCGTTAGTCGCCTCTTACAACAAAGATGGGTTGCTGAAGATCTATTCTACTCCGGATCTTCACGGGTACGGGCGCCACTAAGAAGACGCTGGTTTCGCTGGTGATACTTACACAGATCCTTCCCGGATGACCCTATGACGTAGCTGCTGGACATGGGCTGCACCATGGCCCGAGCCAAGGAAGCCTGGAATTGTCAGAAAACATGAATGCTACAATTTTCGAAATTTGGATTTATAGTTTGAATATATAGGTGAATAGATCAACATGTAAAAAATATTTTAAAAATGGGGCGGTCAGGTAGCCTAGTGGTTAAAGCGTTCGCTCGTCACGCCGAAGACCCGGATTCGATTCCCGACATGAGTACAATGTGTGAAGCCCATTTCTGGTGTCCCCCGCCGTGATATTGCTGGAATGTTGCTAAAAGCGGCGTTTAACCATACTCACTCACTCACTCACTCACTCGGTTTCCGCCGCTTTAAACAGTATTTATTTACACCACGGCGTGTCAGCTTGATGTAGGAGGAAAACTCTAAGTGATGTTGTTCTCAGACGTTTACCGTTTTGCTTAAACAACAAGCACGGCGCTGATAAGCCTACAAGTTATCAAACATGACCAGGGCGAATCTTGGATTCGGACACACGATTAAGGTTTCTGAGGCGCCTAAAGGACGAAACTCCGCACAGCGTATTGCGGCGCCTTCAACGACTGGGCGCCCGTATCCCCGAGTGATTAAGAGGGCCTCATCCGTGACGTACCAGTTCAGCATAGTCCGGTGCGACTGCGGAGCTGCTGTAGCCGTATGGGTAGAGGAAGTACTGGCCGTAGGAGTGGAAGGTGAGGTAGGCCTTGATGGAGGGCCCGTGCTGTCTCATGAAGTTGCCGAGGTTGGTGGACTCCGGGATGGAGAAGTTGTGGTCGCCGGCAAACACTTCCTCGCAAGGGTTGGTGCTGCCGCCGGAATCTGTGATGGAGACAGAGACATGGCTGAAAATCGTTTGATGAATGGGTAGAGTGAGTTGGGTTTAACGCCGCTTTGAACGGTATTTCAGTTATATCACGGCTTGCTGCTTGATGTGGGTGGAAAACGTGAAGTGATGATGGTCCTAGACGTTTAACATGCCATGCACTTCTTAATGCCCAAACATTTGTTAATTTTTCTTTGTTTATAGGTGAGGTGGGGGGAAATAGGGTTGAACGTCGCGTCCAAGATTATTGCACTTGTATAGCGACGTGTGTGTGTGGCTGCTTGTACTAGTCCGCACCAATACCGATTTTGTAGTGCCAGCCCACTGAGATACCATGTCGCAGTTTAACATGAATACCCCACTCAGACCCATTATACTGACTACTGGCCGACCAGTCCTTGTTTAAGCCGCTAAATGACGAACGCCAGACAGAGTAACAACAAGTACAATCTTTTAACGTCTATTGGTATGACGCAGCCTGGGATCAAACCCCGGACATTCCGCTCCCTGGGCGGATGCTGTACCAATAGACCACGGTCTTTGCTTGTAGGACTAACTTGGCCATCACAATGACGCTCCGTAATAACGTCCACAAACTGGTCCTATCAGTATCTGTCTGTATACCACATTGCCTATAAGATACATGCAACAATACGTGAGATCTTGTGACCAGACTGAGAAAGTGTTCTCACATGGGTCCCAGTGGTAGCCGAAGTTCCTGTTGGCGTCTGTGCCTTTACAGGAGCTGTGAGCGTTGACGTTCATCGTCTTCCTCCACGACCTGTCCTGTAACAAACACCACTGACATATCACAACACAATAACGGCTTCATAAGTTCATGTTCCCCTCTCTGTCTACACTGACCGCCTCTGTGGTCAAGTGGTAGAGCATCCGCCCGGAGAGCGGAAGGTCCGGGGTTCGATCCCCGGCCGCGTCATACCAAATGACGTTAAAAGATGGTCTTGTTGTTACCCTGTCTGGCGCTCGGCATTAAGGGGCTAAAACAAGGACTGGTCGGCTCGGAGTCAGTATAATGTGTCTGAGTGGGGTATTCGTCTTAAACTGCGGCATGGTATCTCAGTGAGTTAGCACTATAAATCGGCATTAGTCCGGACAAGCAGCCACACAAACACACACACACGTGCATGCACGTCGCTATATAAGTGCAACAATCTTGGACGCGACGTTAAACCCAATTTCACCTCACCTCACCTCACCTCTGTCTACACGTCTATGTTCCACCCTGCCCTTCCCTGTCTATGTCCCACCCTGTCTACCTCTACCTTGTCTATATCCCACTCCCTCTACCCCGTCCTCCAGTATACCCCTAAAGAATGTCCGACTCAGTGAGCTTAATGTGTCTGAGTGGGGTATTCATGTCTACACTCGCCAGGCATCTCAGTGGAATAGCACTATAAAACAGACACAAGCCCGGAATACAACAATAAGCCACACATACCCACGCATGCTTTTGTTCGTTTCTTTGTTGTTTTGTCAAATTTAGATATAAATCCCCCTGCGACGGACGTGACGTTGACAAAACAAGACATTCAAAATGGGTGCCTTGGTTCAAAATGTGATATATTCCAGAAACACCTTTCGAAAATACCATTGTTGTGGACACAAACAAAAGAATGTCAGATAAAAAACACGCATCTTCAAAACAGATATCTTTGAGCGTCACGTCCACTGTTTGTTTATCTGTTGTTTAACGCCGCACTCAGCAATATTCCAGCTTTATGACAGCGGTCTGTAAAAAATCGAGTCTGGACGAGATAATCCAGTGAATGACATCATGAGCATCGATGCACGCAATTGGGATCAATGGCATGCATCAACCAAGTCAGCAAGTCTGACCGCCCGATCCCGTTAGTCGCCTCTTACAACAAAATAGCCGCCTTTTACGAAGATCTACCCCTGATCTTCACGGGTCGAGTATTCATGTTACATTGCGGCATAGTATTTTAGTGGGTTAGCACAATCAAACCACTATTAGTCCGGACTAGTACTCACGCAAGCACGCACGGACGCACGCTTACGACAAGAAGGGGTTGCTGAAGTCCTATTCTACCCCGGATCTTCACGGGTCCACACTCATGCACGTCGCTATATGAGTTAAACCCCATATCACCTCACTCGCCCCTGTCTACCGTAATGTCTACGCCCTATATCCTGTTCACCCTGTCCCTTGCTGCCTACCCTATCCATTCCGTCTTACCCTAAGGCGGCTGTATTCGTATCCGTCAGGGTTGACCAGGGGCATGAGGTACCAGTCAAAGTCCCCCAGCATAGTGCTGATGTGATGATCGCTGCTGAAGGCCAACTGAAACGCAATGGCTGTATGAGGTAGGATGCATACTGCAGTTGTTATGATAATTTAACGTCACTATAGGACCACCTTTCTTCCGACTTGTCAAACGGAATGCCACATATTTTTTCTGAGGCGCCGCAATTCGCTGTGAGTTCCTTTCCTTCGGCACGCCAGAATTTGTAAGTGAGTGAGTGAGTGAGTTTGGTTTTACGCCGCTTTTAGCAATATTCCAGCAATATCACGGCGGGGGACACCAAAAATGGGCTTCACACATTGTACCCATGTCGGGATTCGAACCCGGGTCTTCGGCCTGACGAGCGAACGCTTTAACCACTAGGCTACCCGACCGCCCGCCAGAATTTGTACTCGTGCCCGTGCTCGAAGTGGTTAATGTGAGAACTGCATCACTTCTGGCTTTCCTCACACATTAAGCTGACACGCCGTGATATAACTTGAATACTGTTAAAAGCGGCGTAAAACTCAACTCACTCACCCGTGTCACCTTGGTTCCACCCCCGTCCCCGCATCCACTCACCTGGTAGATGAAGTTGATGACGACGGCAGGAGCGATCCACTCCCTAGCATGTATTCCTCCATCAATCAAAATGGCCGGCTTCGCTCTTCCGTCGTTGCGATAGATCTACAAAGTAAGTGGCAACATCGTGTCAAGATCCTTGCGGCAACCAATACTCTAAAGCTTCATGACGACCTACTATTTCACTGTAGAAAATACGGTCTATTGTCCTTCCTACCACTACCTAACGTGTGTGTCGAAATATTTCAGAAACACAACAGGCGTCTACCCGCTTTGTTCAGTTGAACAACTCTGACTTGATGTTCTGAAACACTTTATCACCACGAACTGATCTACGTCTGCTCACGACCGACAGCAACTCAATAACACCAGTCATGTCATGATGTTGTTATGAACACTTTATCTACGTCTGACCACGACCGACAGCAACTCAATAACACCAGTCATGTCATGATGTTGGTATGAACACTTTATCTACGTCTGACCACGACCGATAGCAACTCAATAACACCAGTCATGTCATGATGTTGTTATGAACACTTTATCTACGTCTGACCACGACCGATAGCAACTCAATAACACCAGTCATGTCATGATGTTGGTATGAACACTATATCTACGTCTGACCACGACCGATAGCAACTCAATAACACCAGTCATGTCATGATGTTGGTATGAACACTTTATCTACGTCTTACCACGACCGATAGCAACTCAATAACACCAGTCATGTCATGATGTTGTTATGAACACTTTATCTACGTCTGACCACGACCGATAGCAACTCAATAACACCAGTCATGTCATGATGTTGTTATGAACACTTTATCTACGTCTGACCACGACCGATAGCAACTCAATAACACCAGTCATGTCATGATGTTGTTATGAACACTTTATCTACGTCTGACCACGACCGATAGCAACTCAATAACACCAGTCATGTCATGATGTTGTTATGAACACTTTATCTACGTCTGACCACGACCGATAGCAACTCAATAACACCAGTCATGTCATGATGTTGTTATGAACACTTTATCTACGTCTGACCACGACCGATAGCAAATAAATAACACCAGTCATGTCATGATGTTGTTATGAACACTTTATCTACGTCTGCTCACGACCGATAGCAACTCAATAACACCAGTCATGTCATGATGTTGTTATGAACACTTTATCTACGTCTGACCACGACCGATAGCAACTCAATAACACCAGTCATGTCATGATGTTGTTATGAACACTTTATCTACGTCTGACCACGACCGATAGCAACTCAATAACACCAGTCATGTCATGATGTTGGTATGAACACTTTATCTACGTCTGACCACGACCGACAGCAACTCAATAACACCAGTCATGTCATGATGTTGGTATGAACACTTTATCTACGTCTGACCACGACCGATAGCAACTCAATAACACCAGTCATGTCATGATGTTGTTATGAACACTTTATCTACGTCTGACCACGACCGATAGCAACTCAATAACACCAGTCATGTCATGATGTTGTTATGAACACTTTATCTACGTCTGCTCACGACCGATAGCAACTCAATAACACCAGTCATGTCATGATGTTGGTATGAACACTTTATCTACGTCTGACCACGACCGATAGCAACTCAATAACACCAGTCATGTCATGATGTTGTTATGAACACTTTATCTACGTCTGACCACGACCGATAGCAACTCAATAACACCAGTCATGTCATGATGTTGGTATGAACACTATATCTACGTCTGACCACGACCGATAGCAACTCAATAACACCAGTCATGTCATGATGTTGTTATGAACACTTTATCTACGTCTGACCACGACCGATAGCAACCTTAATAACACCAGTCATGTCATGATGTTGGTATGAACACTTTATCTACGTCTGCTCACGACCGATAGCAACTCAATAACACCAGTCATGTCATGATGTTGTTATGAACACTTTATCTACGTCTGACCACGACCGATAGCAACTCAATAACACCAGTCATGTCATGATGTTGTTATGAACACTTTATCTACGTCTGACCACGACCGATAGCAACTCAATAACACCAGTCATGTCATGATATTGTTATGAACACTTTATCTACGTCTTACCACGACCGATAGCAACTCAATAACACCAGTCATGTCATGATGTTGGTATGAACACTTTATCTACGTCTGACCACGACCGATAGCAACTCAATAACACCAGTCATGTCATGATGTTGTTATGAACACTTTATCTACGTCTGACCACGACCGATAGCAACTCAATAACACCAGTCATGTCATGATGTTGGTATGAACACTTTATCTACGTCTGACCACGACCGATAGCAACTCAATAACACCAGTCATGTCATGATGTTGTTATGAACACTTTATCTACGTCTGACCACGACCGATAGCAAACTTAATAACACCAGTCATGTCATGATGTTGTTATGAACACTTTATCTACGTCTGACCACGACCGATAGCAACTCAATAACACCAGTCATGTCATGATGTTGTTATGAACACTTTATCTACGTCTGACCACGACCGATAGCAAATAAATAACACCAGTCATGTCATGATGTTGTTATGAACACTTTATCTACGTCTGACCACGACCGATAGCAACTCAATAACACCAGTCATGTCATGATGTTGTTATGAACACTTTATCTACGTCTGACCACGACCGATAGCAACTCAATAACACCAGTCATGTCATGATGTTGGTATGAACACTTTATCTACGTCTGCTCACGACCGATAGCAACTCAATAACACCAGTCATGTCATGATGTTGGTATGAACACTTTATCTACGTCTGACCACGACCGATAGCAACTCAATAACACCAGTCATGTCATGATGTTGGTATGAACACTTTATCTACGTCTGACCACGACCGAAAATACAACTCAATAACACCAGTCATGTCATGATGTTGTTATGAACACTTTATCTACGTCTGCTCATGACCGATAGCAACTCAATAACACCAGTCATGTCATGATGTTGGTATGAACACTTTATCTACGTCTGCTCACGACCGATAGCAACTCAATAACACCAGTCATGTCATGATGTTGTTATGAACACTTTATCTACGTCTGACCACGACCGATAGCAACTCAATAACACCAGTCATGTCATGATGTTGTTATGAACACTTTATCTACGTCTGACCACGACCGATAGCAACTCAATAACACCAGTCATGTCATGATGTTGTTATGAACACTTTATCTACGTCTGACCACGACCGATAGCAACTCAATAACACCAGTCATGTCATGATGTTGTTATGAACACTTTATCTACGTCTGACCACGACCGATAGCAACTCAATAACACCAGACATGTCATGATGTTGTTATGAACACTTTATCTACGTCTGCTCACGACCGATAGCAAATAAATAACACCAGTCATGTCATGATGTTGTTATGAACACTTTATCTACGTCTGCTCACGACCGATAGCAACTCAATAACACCAGTCATGTCATGATGTTGTTATGAACACTTTATCTACGTCTGACCACGACCGATAGCAACTCAATAACACCAGTCATGTCATGATGTTGTTATGAACACTTTATCTACGTCTGACCACGACCGATAGCAACTCAATAACACCAGTCATGTCATGATGTTGTTATGAACACTTTATCTACGTCTGCTCACGACCGATAGCAACTCAATAACACCAGTCATGTCATGATGTTGTTATGAACACTTTATCTACGTCTGACCACGACCGATAGCAACTCAATAACACCAGTCATGTCATGATGTTGGTATGAACACTTTATCTACGTCTGACCACGACCGACAGCAACTCAATAACACCAGTCATGTCATGATGTTGTTATGAACACTTTATCTACGTCTGACCACGACCGACAGCAACTCAATAACACCAGTCATGTCATGATGTTGGTATGAACACTTTATCTACGTCTGACCACGACCGATAGCAACTCAATAACACCAGTCATGTCATGATGTTGTTATGAACACTTTATCTACGTCTGACCACGACCGATAGCAACTCAATAACACCAGTCATGTCATGATGTTGTTATGAACACTTTATCTACGTCTGACCACGACCGATAGCAACTCAATAACACCAGTCATGTCATGATGTTGTTATGAACACTTTATCTACGTCTGCTCACGACCGATAGCAAATAAATAACACCAGTCATGTCATGATGTTGTTATGAACACTTTATCTACGTCTGCTCACGACCGATAGCAACTCAATAACACCAGTCATGTCATGATGTTGTTATGAACACTTTATCTTCGTCTGCTCACGACCGATAGCAAATAAATAACACCAGTCATGTCATGATGTTGTTATGAACACTTTATCTACGTCTGCTCACGACCGATAGCAACTCAATAACACCAGTCATGTCATGATGTTGTTATGAACACTTTATCTACGTCTGCTCACGACCGATAGCAACTCAATAACACCAGTCATGTCATGATGTTGTTATGAACACTTTATCTACGTCTGCTCACGACCGATAGCAAATAATTAACATCAGTCATGGCCACGACCGATGAAAAGTAAATACTCTGGGTGATGACCTGATGTTGTTATGAACACTTTATCTTCGTATGACCACGAACTGATAACAACTAAATACTTTCAGTCATGGCTTGATGTTCTGAAACACTTCATCTACGTCTGTTCACAACCGATAACAGCTAAATATCCTCAGTCGTGGCTTCATGTTGTTCTGAAACACTGAAAAACGCCTCACCTCCAGACAATACCAATCTCATAACTAAACACTTATGTAGTACTGAAACACTCCCGCGCTCCCGTGTTCCGACAACATTACAAATAAACACCTCCTGACCAAGGCGTGACGTAGCTATTGCCTTCTGTCTGTACCTTGATCATGGCCTGGTCTTTACCCTGCGTGGTCTTCCCGATGGAGAACACGTCGGCGTGGACGTTTTGGGACTTGGCTCTACTGCTGGACACGGCTTGGAGGTAGTCAATAATCTGTGGTCAAGACGCACCGTGTCAAGCATTTACAAATACGTCTAGGCATTTATTGAGCCAAAGTAAAGATTGTTTAAAGCTGCAGTCCGCACCACAGCATTAATTGTTATGTCACAGGGACTCATGATTTAGGAAACCATTTGTAAATAACACAAGCAACGATCCACGCTTGCTGCTGGGGCCGGGGGACACGGATGGCCCAGGCGTCTGGGGTGCTGCAGTTTCTCTGTGGTGAGCTGGGTCCCCTGGTGACGCCAGAAACCTATAATCGTGGGTTCGAATCCCGATTCGCCCTGATTATGTTTTAGGTTTGTCAGCACCATACCCGTGGTCGTGTGTTTCACCAAAATGGCAAACGTCGAAGACATTGTATCACTTCTGGCTTTCCTCACACATTAAGCTGACGCGCCGTGGTATAACTGGAATACAGCTCAAAGCAGCGTTAAACCCAACTCACTCACTCACTCACTCTTGGTATATCGAGAACGTACCGTAGAAATATATTTCTTTTCATATGGTTGCCATCGCAACAATTTCAACTCTTAATAAACATTCACACATTTGTAAGCCTGATAGAAAGCCCCATTGCAACCGGCCACACAATTTCTACCCATAATCTCCATTAATGGCAATGGTGAAATATATCTGTTAATAAAGTTTAACGCTGATGAGAGGAAGAAGCATCGGCCCCACCTCTGAGTAGGAGTGGTAGTTGACGGTGTAGGAGTGGATGGAGGGGGTGGCGCGGCGCTTGATGTGGTGCATGGATCGACGTTCCTTCTCAAACAGGCTGCAATGTAGGGTATTGAGTGAAAACAGTTATATGCAGGAGTCAGTAATTTATCAACTGTCGACAATTTCAACTGTCCTGGTTAAATCTAGGTTTACTTTGGTATATTGTATATATCCCCCAGTATTTATGTATATGAAACACAGTGACCAAAACAACTAGCGCGAAATCTTTCCTTGCAAACAAAAATTTGTTTGTTATGGATGTCTACTATCAATTAAATCAAAGATCGTCAACACCAACGCCAATGCCAACGTCAATGCCAACGCCAATGCCAACGTCAACCTGATGTAATTATAAGCATTATTGAGATGAAAGGACGAATTGAAATGAAACAACACGGAAAGCAGTTAGTGCAAGCTCTTTCATCCATCTGATGTACAACCAACATAAATAGGGCAACAAAGCGGTACCGATTAGCGTTTTATACTTTCGCTACCTAACATTGTGCGTTATCAATCAACAAATGTAACTGGATAAATATGGACAAGGATTTGTTACTTTGACTGAATCTATATAATGCACAATGTACAAAATTACAGAAATTACTGATCGTGTGACCTGTAATACGTTCTGTTGAGTTTGACACGCCATCACCTTGCACACATTATACACGTAGGGAATGTAACGTCACCTGTCTCACACGTACTTCACTCTGTATGGCACCTGTATATACGTTATGTGTCCGAAAGTATGTCATCTGTCCGTTGTATTGCACGTACATTCAGCTGTCGTCCGTAGTGTACATTCCGTCAGCTGTCATGGGCAATGTACGTACTGTCACTTATCGCACGTGCTCTACGTAACGTCACCTGTCATGGGCAATGCACGTACTGTCACTTATCATACGTACTGCACGTAACGTAAGCTGTCATACGTAATACACGTACTGTCACTTATCATACGTGCTGCACGTAACGTCACCTGTCATGGACAATGCACGTACTGTCACTTAGCATACGTGCTGCACGTAACGTCTCCTATCATTCGTAATGCACGTACTGTCACTTGTCATACGTGCTGCACGTAACGTCACCTGTCATGGGCAATGCACGTAATGTCACTTGTCATACGTGCTGCACGTAACGTCACCTGTCATGGGCAATGCACGTACTGTCACTTATCATACGTACTGCACGTAACGTAAGCTGTCATACGTAATACACGTACTGTCACTTATCATACGTGCTGCACGTAACGTCACCTGTCATGGGCAATGCACGTACTGTCACTTATCATACGTGCTGCACGTAACGTCTCCTATCATTCGTAATGCACGTACTGTCACTTGTCATACGTGCTGCACGTAACGTCACCTGTTATGGGCAATGCACGTAATGTCACTTGTCATACGTGCTGCACGTAACGTCACCTGTCACACGCAATACACGTACTGTCACTTATCATACGTGCTGCACGTAACGTCTCCTATCATTCGTAATGCACGTACTGTCACTTATCATACGTGCTGCACGTAACGTCTCCTATCATTCGTAATGCACGTACTGTCACTTGTCATACGTGCTGCACGTAACGTCACCTGTCATGGGCAATGCACGTTCTGTAACTTGTCATACGTGCTGCACGTAACGTCACCTGTCACCTGTCACACGTAATACACGTACTGTCACTTATTGTACGTGATGCACGTAACATCACCTATCATTCGTCATACACGTACTGTCACTTATCATACGTACCCTCGCCAGTCATAGGTAAAGCACGTTGTATCAAACATGTTGCACGTAACGTCAGTTTACGTCAACTGTCATACATAATACACATATTGTTACTTATCGTAGGTGCTGAACGTAACGTCACCTATCATTCGTAATACACGTATTGTCACTTATCATACGTACCCTCGCCTGTCACATGGTAAAAAAACGTTGTATCAAACATGTTACACGTAACGTTTCCTGCCTTTCGTATTTCACATACCATCACCTGGGATACGTATGATTTTGATGATTTTGATGGCACTTTACAATGTTGATTTTGAAAACTGGATAGGAGGGAGTAAGCCGCGTCTAGGTTTACGAACTATTAAGAAAGTTCAAGTATATTTACCTTTCCACATTATCAACCACCTGCTTTGACTCCATCTTGAGTTTGTCAAACACCGCCTGGAGATCGTTCAGCGCCTCGGGGCCGACCATGACGTCGAGCGTATCGTTGTCGGCGTGAGGTACGTGCCAAAAGTTCAACTGTCCAACAGGCAACACAACTGTGAGGACCGTGCGATATTTCAAGGCACGTGTGGCCCGTGTAGGGCTCGAAAGAAAGATAGCTTGTTATGGTTTGATATTACTGGTTGAAATTAACGTTTTAGGTTAATAAACCTAATTCATATTCATCCTTGTCTCTATATGACTTACAGGTATGTGGCTGGCCTCGGATATAAACTTCTGGAACTGGTCATGGGATGAGGAAACAGCCTGGTGGACGGTGTACCTGTGTCGAAGTAGAACATAACACTGTTAGAGTACGTGGTGATGGATGTGTGATGAGGAGTGTGTGGCTGGACAGGATGTCGTTACAGCCGATATAGTAGGTTGTAGCAGAACACCGTGTTATACGACACGAGATAGTCACTGCCCCTTCTGTCTACACAACATACACTGTTATATACAACACGAGATAGTCACTGCCCCCTCTGCCTACAACATACACTGTTATATACAACACGAGACGGTCACTGCCCCCTCTGTATACAGCATACACTGTGTAATACAACACGAGACAGTCACAGCCGCCGCTGTATACAACATACACTGTGTTATACAACACGAGATAGTCACTGCCCCCTCTGTCTACAACATACATTGTGTTATACCACACGAGATAGTCACTGCCCCCTCTGTCTACAACATACACTGTTATATACAACACGAGATAGTCACTGCCCCCTCTGCCTACAACATACACTGTTATATACAACACGAGACGGTCACTGCCCCCTCTGTATACAGCATACACTGTGTAATACAACACGAGACAGTCACTGCCGCCGCTGTATACAACATACACTGTGTTATACAACACGAGATAGTCACTGCCCCCTCTGTCTACAACATACACTGTTATATACAACACGAGATAGTCACTGCCCCCTCTGCCTACAACATACACTGTTATATACAACACGAGACGGTCACTGCCCCCTCTGTATACAGCATACACTGTGTAATACAACACGAGACAGTCACTGCCGCCGCTGTATACAACATACACTGTGTTATACAACACGAGATAGTCACTGTCCCCTCTGTCTACAACATACACTGTGTTATACAACACGAGATAGTCACTGCCCCCTCTGTCTACAACATACATTGTGTTATACCACACGAGATAGCCACTGTCCCCTCTGTATACAACATACACTGTGTTATACCACACGAGATAGTCACTGTCCCCTCTGTTTACAACATACACTGTGTTATACCACACGAGATAGCCACTGTCCCCTCTGTTTACAACAGACACTGTGTTATACTACACGAGATAGCCACTGTCCCCTCTGTTTACAACAGACACTGTTTTATACTACACGAGATAGTCACTGCCCCCTCTATATACAACATACACTGTGTTATACAACACGAGATAGTGATTTTTCCCTCTGTCTACAACATACACTGTGTTGTACAACACGAGATAGTCACTGCCCCCTCTGTATACAACATACACTGTGTTATACAATACGAGATAGTAAATGTCCCCTCTGTCCACAACATACACTGTGTTGTACAACACGAGATAGTCACTGCCCCCTCTGTATACAACATACACTGTGTTATACAATACGAGATAGTGATTGTCCCCTCTGTATACAACATACACTGTGTTATACAACACGAGATAGTGATTGTCCCCTCTGTATACAACATACACTGTCTTATACAACACGAGATAGTGATTGTCCCCTCTGTCTACAACATACACTGTGTTATACAACACGAGATAGTGATTGTCCCCTGTCTACAACCTACACTGTCTAAAACAACACGAGATAGTCACTGCCCCCTCTATATACAACATACACTGTGTTATACAACACGAGATAGTGATTGTCCCCTCTGTCTACAACAATTGCTGTGTTATACAACACGAGATAGTGATTGTCCCCTGTTTATACAACATACACTGTGTTATACAACACGAGATAGTGATTGTCCCCTCTGTATACAACATACACTGTCTTATACAACACGAGATAGTGATTGTCTCCTCTGTCTACAACATACACTGTGTTATACAACACGGGATAGTGATTGTCCCCTCTGTACACAACATACGCTGTCTTATACAACACGATATAGTCACGGCCCCCTCTGCATACAACCAACGCTGTCTTATACAACACGAGATAGTGATTGTCCCCTCTGTATACAACATACACTGTGTTATACAACACGAGATAGTGATTGTCCCCTCTGTATACAACATACACTACAAGTTGTATTAGAATCACTCGGGGAACAAGGGGTTTTATGCGACCCGCGTTGGGTTTGATACCACGAACCGGATGCGGCCGGGGTTTCAACCTAACGCGGGACGCAAAAAAAAAACATGTACCCCGAGTGATCCTGCTACAACGAAGTTAACTTATCGACATTTTTTAATATGACATAGGAAAAGAATTCAAATAAATTGAAAATTGATAGAAAACAGCTGTTCGATTGAGTTGAGGTTCACGTGTGCTGTATCATGTGACTTTCATTGATTCGGGGTAAAGCGTGAGGCCTTTTGCTTCGAAGCGGGGAATAAAGGATTTATTTTTCCTCGCAGCAATCCATGTGCAACCTGTTTTCTTCGTGGCGACGTATAAGGATTTATTTCTCCCCGGCTGTGAAATTTATTTTCCCCCAAGGCAGGAGACATCGTATTTTATCAAGATCACATGAACCAATCAGATCTCAGCATTCTGACATGGAGGTAGGATAATCCTTCTTATCCGATCCGGAGTTTATTCATGTACCCCGTCACATTGAGTTCATTTACAGCTCCGTGAAGATCCAGGTTAGGATTGGTCTTCAGCAGTCCATGCTTATTTTAAGAGGCAACTACTAATGGGATTGTATTGTCAGGCTCGCAAACTTAGTTGATACATGTCATGGTATCCCAAATGCGTAGATCCACGTACATGGATAGATTGACCAGACTTGCTTATTTACAGATAGCCGTCATATAACTGAAATATTGCTGAGTGTGGCGTTAAACAATAAACGAACAAACACTTCATTTTACACGGATGTGGCGTTGTTACCTGCTGTTGTTAATGTGTTTCGCTCTCTCAGTCTGTCACATGCTTACAACCTATAGAGCCCTCTGATCCACAGGTGTTGCGCAGTTTGGGTAAAAAGTAAACGAGTTTTAAACGAAAACTCACCTCAACTGTACAATTACGATTACAGTAAACTACGGTTATAACAAACTCAAAGGGACTACCTTTTTAGTTCGTTATAACCGTAGTTCGTTATAAGCATATATACAGCATAACTTCAGCCAATAGTCGGGACTAAAAAGTAAGTTCGTTATATCCGTCAGTTCGTTATAAGTGTGTTCGTTATAACCGTATTTTACTGTATTAATAAATGAGAATGAATTATAATCAGTACATATCTTTGACTACAGGCAAACCAAAACCACAATACGAGTTTTCACCATGACCTCTTCTATCATAAGAGAAGAGTATATGACAGCAAACAAATCTAGCATATTTACATATTTCTTTGTTACAATAATACTGTTAAGAATGAAAAAATGAAAGCTGTAATAATCGTGAATTAATAACTATCTTGAATCAACGCCAGCAACGTCTTACCCATCATAGCGTATCCTCTGTGTGTCGTCTGCTGCAGATACATCGACGGCGACAAGAGTCGCCACCAGCACGGACCACACTCCAATCATTCTGTACAGGAGAAAGGCACAGGAATAAGTCAACAGCGGGTTGCATGTAGCAGGTGCGCGCTGAAGCTGTATACTTTAAAATCTATATGTTTCATGTGATTGCTCTAATTATCAACATATAATTCTAATGAAAACAAACCTGTGACGTCATTGTATTGTTTGAACGCTCCATTATTTTTCAGAAATGGAGAGTTGTTTGTCAACTATACATTATCTTGAACCAACATTTGAATTAATTTCCAGTTGGAATAGGCGTAACTATTTTTTACATTCAGTAACAAGTGAATAATTTAATTTTTTTCCCGAAAACATGTGTCGCCAGCGGGGTTTCGAACGTTTGATTTGAGAACGTGTCAACCACAGCTACGGCGGCACATGAAGGTATGGTGTGAAATTAACTATTAAATATTTTCCTAATTTTGCATAATGCTTAAAATCTCAAAATAATATGTATATATTTTGTGTTAGAGCAGGTTACCTACAACAATGTTCATATTTATAGCGGGGGCACGGGGGGCCCAGTCGTCTAAGGCGCCGCGATTCACTGTGCAGAGTTGCGTCCCTTGGGCACGCCAGAAACCTATGATTGTGGGTTCGAATCCCGGTTCGACGCGATTATGTTTCTAGGTTTGTCAGCACCATAACCGTGCTCGTGGGTTTCACCGAAGTGGTAAACGTCCGAGAACTGCACCACTTCGGGCTTTCCTCCCACATTAAGCTGACATGCCGCGATATAACTGGAATATTGTTAAAAGCGGCGTTAAACCCAACTCACTCACTCATATTTATAGCAATTAAATAAACCGTTGACGAGAAAAAACAAATCAGGTAAGTATATATATCCTTGATCGTGGCTCTATATTTCCTATTATTCCCGTCAATATGTATTGACAATGTGTAAGTGATTGATAAATACTAGTTTAGGACCCAACGAAATTATGAAGAGCCGTGTACCATGCATTGTAAATGTCAGCTCGCGACGAAGCAGGGCGCACGCGCAACAGCGGCAGAGAACGTATTCCGCGTGCATCACGCAAGGGCGACTCACGCAGTCTAAACACAGACAAGAAAGAGTTCTGGTTTATTTTTCAAATATTTTCCACAACTGAATATTTTGTCAAAGTGTAAAAGTAGGGATGAGTTTTGAGTAGGGGAATATCCTCGTAACTCTCCATTCCTTAAAAATAATTGGCCTCTGCTTCATTATTTTTAGGGAATGGAGAGTTACTCGGACATTCCCCTCTACGTAATGAGGTATACGACAAGGATCCAGCAAGTCGATGCAATGGGATGTGTTGCAAGTGACTCAGTCTAAGAAATCAGGTTTGACGTTTACCTCAACAGGACTATGTAATGAGGACTATGAAAAAGGCTTCATCAGCAAGTCTGTGTAAGGAGGTGTATGGACCGCCTCCGTGGTCTAGTGGTAGAGCGGAAAGTCCGGGGTTTGATCCCCGGCCGCGTCATACCAAAAGACGTTAAAATATTGTACTTGTTGTTACCCTGTCTGGCGTTCGGCATTAAGGGTCTAAAACAAGGATTGGTCGGCTCGGAGTTAGTATACTGTGTCTGAGTGGGGTATTCATGTTAAACTGCGGCATGGTATCTCAGTGTGCCAGCACTATAAATCGGCATCAGTACAAGCAGCTACACACACAAGTGTATGCACATCGCTATATAAGTGCAATAATCTTGTACGCGACGTTAAACCCCATTTCACCTCACCTTATGAGGTGTATGACAAGGGACCCGTTATCAAGTCTATGTAATGAGGTGTATGACAAGGGACCCGTCAGCAAGTCTATGTAATGAGGTGTATGACAAGGGACCCAACTACAAGTCTATGTAATGAGGTGTATGACAAGGGACCCGTCAGCAAGTCTATGTAATGAGGTGAATGACAAGGAACCGTCAGCAAGTCTATGTAATGAGGTGAATGACAAGGAACCCGTCAGCAAGTCTATGTAATGAGATGAATGACAAGGAACCCGTCAGCAAGTCTATGTAATGAGATGAATGACAAGGAACCCGTCAGCAAGTCTATGTAATGAAATGAATGACAAGGAACCCGTCAGCAAGTCTATGTAATGAGGTGTATGACAAGGAACCAAACTACAAGTCTATGTAATGAGGTGTGACAATAACCTCAGCAAATCAATGTAATGAGATGCATGACAAGGGCCTCTTCAAGTCTAAGTAATTATGAGTGCGTTACGATTCCCAATCAAATCAATGTAAGAAGTGTATGACAAGAAGCTCAGAAAATCAAAGTAATGAGGTGTAGGGCAAAGGCCTCAGCAAGTCTACGGAATGATGTGTGTGGAAAGGGCCTCAGCAAGTCGTGCTGTGTATGCCAAGAACCTCGGCAAGTCTAGTGGTAATCCACTCACAAAACCCGTTTGAGACAAGTTGTCGGTACGCAGAATTTGGGCAAACATATTTGGTTTGTTACAGGTGGAGAGGGTGTACGCATGTTCTGCACGTGCAGGTCATGAGGATGACATTGACTACGCTCTCATGGACGCATGTGCTGCTCATAAGACTCTTCAGAGGTCGGTGTGATAAGTGAACACCAGAATTCTCAAAAAGTGCGACAGAAGTTAATTACAAACAAATTAACATGCCAAAACTAGGTTAGCATGGCCATATTATACAATCTCGAAAACTGGCCTATAATGTAATCAATTACATGGAGAAAGAATGATGGAAATAAAAAGCATGCCTCTTTGCATCAACACCAAAGCGCATCAGATGAATGACATGACACTACTCATTAGAGTTCTCAGGGGTAAAAAACAATATTCCATATTTACAGCAAATGAGTTCCCTTTGTTGTCAGGGGACTTCTCAATTGTTGTTATCTATGCGACCCGTGAAGATCCGGGGTAGAATAGGTCTTCAGCAATCCATGATTGCCGTAAAAGGCGACTATGCTTGTCGTAAGGGGCGACTAACGGGATCGGTTGGTCAGGCTCGCTGACTTGGTTGATGCATGTCATCGTATCTCAACTGCGTGGATCGATGCTCTTGATGTCAATCACTGGATTGTTTGGTCCAGACTCGACTATTTACAGACCGCCGTCAAATAGCTGGAATATTGCTGAGTGCGGCGATATACATGAAATAACCATAACCGTTATCTGTGCAAATTAGCCGTCACCGTTTTTACAGTCATCGTGTACCTCACATCAGCACGTACTTTTATGTGTTATTGAACGCGCCACTGGAACTCGTTGTTAGCCGCTAAGTGGTCCTAAGTTTTTGTTTGTTTGTTTATTGTCAGCAAAATTCCAGCTATATGTCGTCGGTCTGTAAATAGTCGAGTCTGGACCCGACAATCCAATGATTGACATCATGAGCATCGGTCTACGCAACTGAGATACGATGACATGCATCTGTGCGTGACAAGGGCCTCAGTAAGTCTATGTAATAACTGCGTGACAAGGGACACCGCAAGTCTATATAATAACGTGCGTGACAAGGGCCTCTGCAAGTCTATGTAACGACGTGCGTGACAAGGGCCTCAGCCAGCCTATGTAATGACGTGCGTGACAAGGGTCTCAACCAGCCTATGTAATGACGTGCGTGACAAGGGCCTCAGCAACTCTATGTGATGACGTGCGTGACAAGGGCCACAACCAGCCTATGTAATGACGTGCGTGACAAGGGCCACAACCAGCCTATGTAATGACGTGCGTGACAAGGGCCTCAGCAACTCTATGTGATGACGTGCGTGACAAGGGCCTCAACCAGCCTATGTAATGACGTGCGTGACAAGGGCCTCAACCAGCCTATGTAATGACGTGCGTGACAAGGGTCTCAACCAGCCTATGTAATGACGTGCGTGACAAGGGCCACAACCAGCCCATGTGATGACGTGCGTGACAAGGGCCACAACCGGCCTATGTAATGACGTGCGTGACAAGGGCCTCAACCAGCCTATGTAATGACGTGCGTGACAAGGGCCTCAGCCAGCCTATGTAATGACGTGCGTGACAAGGGCCTCAGCAACTCTATGTGATGACGTGCGTGACAAGGGCCTCAACCAGCCTATGTAATGACGTGCGTGACAAGGGCCTCAACCAGCCTATGTCATGACGTGCGTGACAAGGGCCTCAACCAGCCTATGTAATGACGTGCGTGACAAGGGCCTCAGCAACTCTATGTGATGACGTGCGTGACAAGGGCCTCAACCAGCCTATGTAATGATGTGCGTGACAAGGGCCTCAGCCAGCCTATATTATGACGTGCGTGACAAGGGCCTTAACCAGCCAATGTAATGACGTGCGTGACAAGGGCCTCAACCAGCCTATGTAATGGCGTACGTGACAAGGGCCTCAACCAGCTAATGTAATGACGTGCGTGACAAGGGCCTCAACCAGCCTATGTAATGACGTGCGTGACAAGGGCCTCAGCAACTCTAAGTAACCAAGGCACGCTGATAACACTCTCGGGTGACTGTTTTGACGAGACAAGGTAACGATGATCTATCTATGCGTCTTCCCGGGCCAATAGCCTGATATCTCTTAAACGTGACACGGTAAGCCGACACATCGGAATCTGCCACAGTTCATGGACAGAAAGCGAAGGAAATCTACTGCAGGGAGGATATGTATTACATGTATATATACTGATGGAAGTAAGTAAGGGAACATAGAACAAGGGCGTCATCAAGTTCTTCCAAAAATGTCACGAGGATGTTTCGTTAAATCGCGATACAGATATCAAAAGGTCAGATAATTATGATAAATAAGTAATCACTCACTCGCAGGTACAGAGCCGTTGGAAAAGCCCATTCCGCATCAGACAATTTAGAAACGTTCACTGGAATTGTGCGTCTTCGTGTGGGACTTGCCACAGACGATAGTCCGTGCTTACGTTTCAAAAAGCGACTCTCGCACACGCTTCCTGGACCGAGAGTCTGTTGTGACGTTCTACACAGGCGGTCAGTACGTGACTGGGTGTATAATGCTTCAACTCCATATTGTGTTATATAAGTACGATAAGTAATCATTCGGTGAAAAAACACGTTTTGTCCTAGTTCGTCATTGTGATAATATATGACAGGGCATTAGGTAAGTTACATTGGTGTCGATGTTCATCAACCTTATTCACTATCATTGAGTGATGTTCTCTGGGTCTGTATGTCTGTCTGTCTGTCCGGCTTACTCTCTGGCAGGCATGCACACATACACACATGCATACATACACACACTCATTAACACACACACACACACACACACACACACACACACACACACACACACACACACACACACACACACACACACACACACACACACACACACACATTGATTATTGTACACACACACATTGCTTATCGTTCTTTCCGTCCGATACCTCCGAGTACCAAGTGTATTCTCCTTCTATTACGATAAATACCATGGGTCACTTTCCAAGTCAGCGAGCCTGATCACCCGATCCCGTTAGTCGCCTCTTACGACAAGCATAGACACCTTTTATGGCAAACATGGGTTGCTGAAGACCTATTCCCCACGGGTTGCATGGTTTGTAATGCATACTTTTCATATTCAAATACATTTCAATCTGCACAATCAGCAAAGTATTGCGACTCGGATAAAAGATACATAAAGTGCAGGGCAAAAGAAAGTATACACTTTCTTGTTTGTTTCATATTAGCCACCATGCAACATGGGTGTATACTTTCCTTTGCCCAGCAGTGTATATACTTAACATTTGACATCTACGTTATGAAAACAATACTGTAAATGACGATTACACACGTGCAAAATGGTTCGATTTTTATATAAGATACAGATGTCTTTCATGTTTTTTCACCCACCTACCTTGTATGACCCACTCCGCTTGTGACTTTATCAAACAGTAAGAGATAAACCAGAAAGCCAGGATGGTTTTGTTGGGCAACCATAAAGTCGTTTATCTTGACGGTCGCACAGCTTGACTCTCTCACAAAGCCCACTCCTCGCTATAGAACACCACCATTGATGTCTATACACACAACTAGCCTGGGTGGCAGCCTTTAGACGTAATTAAATACTGGCCTAGGTCGGTAGAAAGGTAACGCTTATCTACAGTATTATCGGACAGACCTAGTTTTAATTGTTTATTAATGTTTACACGATTTCTAAAATGTCCCTTTGGCCCTATAACCAAGTCCCAAGTCCCCGACCTGCAGTATGTGGTATTTATATTAGAAGGTTAAAGATCTCGACGTTATTTGCACCTGATGGTGTTTAAATATGGGAACATAACAGTAATTTAACGTTGTCAGTTTCAGAGGTGAAGCGTAAACATGACGTAGCTGCTTGCAGGACCACGTGTCAATCACGCGTACAAAGAATTATAATTATTGAATAATCGCAGATCAGACACAAATCCGAACAGACATTTAGCCTTAAATACATTAACTGCAAACACTTCATATCACCTTATGAGAGGGAAAGAAGCAGTCTTGGAATGTTGTGTTTGTTAAATAAAGAAGTTGTTATCCTTAAGATCTTTGTCGTCATCATATCCGACTTCTAAATGTCTATAAAGACCTCAAAAGTGCATATGTGCTCATGGCTTCATTGTGAATGGCAATATTATCATGTCGATGTTAACAATATTAAAATATATGTAAAATAACTCAAGTAAACCATTATCAGACAAATCCATTCAATGGTCATCGGGCCACGGAGTTTACGTGCTCAATGAAACATATCTGTGCATATCAATGTAAATGCTGAATCGGCATTCTGTCACTTTCTAATACTTGGCTCTTTTTTGCGAATTAATTGCCATTATATTTTCTTGGATTTCGACACTTTAAGATTATATATAAATATACAGTGTACTTACATGTAATGAGGACACGTCCGTGTGTACTTGTGGTGTAATCAGACACTGGCTCTTGTTATACGAAGGTCATGAACTCTTCTCTCGATGTGGCAAAACGTGAGGGTGATAATTAAGATCTCTCATTGGGACAGACACAACCACGTACTAGGATGCTCTCCTCATGACCGTCACTTGTCCTGATCTGTTTATAACAGAATTCCCAACGGTCGGTATGGGGCTACACGAGTAGTCTGAGGCGCCGTATATTGAGATATATATTGAGAGTTTCATCCCTTAACTGTGCCTGGATCCGCTGATCGTAGGTTCGAATTTCAGATTCGGCAGGTTAATTTTCTTGGTTAGTCATCATTATCACCATGTTCGTGGGCGTCATTAAGTTGTCATGCCATGAGATGAATAAGTTAGTTTATGGTGAGGCGTCAAACTCACTCCTCTCAGCTGTGTTTGTTCAGTGTGATGTTTGGTAGTTGTGGGTAGTGGTAGGTAAATTAGTTATGGTAGTTGTAGGTAGAGGTAGGTAGACTAGTGGTAGGTAGTGGTAGGTAGTAGTGGGTAGACTAGTGGTAGGTAGTGGTAGGTAGACTAGTGGTAGGTAGTGGTGGGTAGACTAGTGGTTGGTAGTGGTGGGTAGACTAGTGGTAGGTAGTGGTAGGTAGACTAGTGGTAGTTAGTGGTGGGTAGACTAGTGGTAGGTAGTGGTAGGTAGACTAGTGGTAGGTAGTGGTGGGTAGGCTAGTGGTAGGTAGACTAGTGGTAGTTAGTGGTGGGTAGACTAGTGGTGGGTAGTGGAAGGTAGAATAGTGGTAGGCAGTGGTAGGTAGATTAGTGGTAGGTAGTGGTAGGTAGACTAGTGGTAGGTAGTGGTGGGTAGACTAGTGGTAGGCAGTGGTAGGTAGACTAGTGGTTGGTAGTGGTGGGTAGACTAGTGGTAGGTAGTGGTGGGTAGACTAGCGGTTGGTAGTGGTAGGTAGTAGTGGGTAGACTAGTGGTAGGTAGTGGTAGGTAGACTAGTGGTTGGTAGTGGTGGGTAATGGTAGGTACTATGCTAAAGAAGAAGACATCGTGGTAATCTCACAAATATAAAATATGATCTTCCACTGGCGAAGTTTTCAATCAGTCAATCAGGGTGCAGGCCTCTACATTCTTCGGAGAAGAATATCTCACTTATGTATCTCGAACATGCACGTAAACGGGAAGTTCCGAATGGAGAATAATAATGACTGAGTTTTGCTTTGAATACTTTTACGCCCTGTCTTTGAGTGGCGCCTTTCAACCAACGCTATAAGACGTAGTGTCATTTCTCCTGCACCAATCATAAGTGATAAAGGAGTCGGTGATATAGCTGAAATATTCCCGATTGTAGGTTAAGCAATATTCATTCATATATCGGTATGGGTATCAGTGTGTAAAAACGGGAACAGTAAACTCAAGTTATCCCTGGGGATCTGGGATCATAACGCCCATACTTAAACATAGGCTTACAACAGTCGTAGCGCTGAAAAGATCGTAACTCCCATACTTTAACATAGGCTTACAACAGTCGTAGCGCTGAACCGATCGTAACTCCCATATTTTAACATAGGCTTACAACAGTCGTAGCGCTGAAAAGATCGTAGTTCCCATATTTTAGCATAGGCTTACAACAGTCGTAGCGCTGAAACGATGGTAACTCCCATACTTTAACATAGGCTTACAACAGTCGTAGCGCTGAAAAGATCGTAACTCCCATACTTTAACATAGGCTTACAACAGTCGTAGCGCTGAAACGGTCGTAACTCCCATACTTTAACATAGGCTTACAACAGTCGTAGCGCTGAACCGATCGTAACTCCCATACCTTAACTTGGGCTTACAACAGTCGTAGCTGTAAGACGGTCGTAGCTCTAAGTAGATCGTAACTCCCATACTTTAACTTGGGCTTATAACAGTCGCAGCGCTTAGACGATCTTAACTCCCATGTTTTAACGTGGCTTACGACAGTCATATCCCTACGATCTATTTGTTGAACGAGGCCTGCTCTGATGCATAACAAACTGACATGTTTATACATACTCCTTATCGCCACACCTTAAATAACTATATGTATCGAACAGAAAATGATTGATCTGTTTATGCAGATGTGCTCAAATAATACCGGTACGATATCAAAACATTATTTTGGCATATCAATATGTTATATCGCTTCCCGCTGCCGTCGTTTTCGGGAAATAATTTTAGAATCATCGAGCGTGGAATCCTTTACAGTTTCAGATTTTTTCCTTCAATTTGATGTCACGCACCGGCGAGAATCACGACAAAATATGAAACAAATAGGAATGAAGACTGCTGCCAAGGTCAATACATAGTAAACAGGTGACGATAAAAAGTAAACTATGTAGTTTCTTTTGAATTTGAATCTATATCGGAATTTCCGAGATGATGGCTGCCCAACCTTTGCCTCGATGTGTGTCTTGCGGTACTTCCTTCCGGTTTCAGAAATGATAGATAAACTTGAGAGTTTGTTGATTATTTTTCGGAAACTGCATTTTTTCCTATTGAATGGTTTACCTAGAATGTATATCAGTCAGATTTTGCGTTTCATCCAATATTTTTCATGACCCGTGAAGATCCGGGGTAGAATAGGTCTTCAGCAACCCATGCTTGCAGTAAAAGGCGGCTATGCTTGTCGTAAGAGGCGACTAACGGGATCGGGTGGTCAGGCCCTCTGACTTGGTTGATGCATGACATCGTATCCAATTGCGTAGATCGATGCTCATGATGTCAATCACAAGATTATTAACAGACCGCCGTCATATAGCTGGAATATTGCTGAGCGCGGCGTTAAACAAGAAATGATATCTTTTTTGAAGACACGTGTTGCTGCTGACATTATTTTGTTTATGTTCCCAACAGTGTTATTTTCGAAAGGTGTTTCTGGAATATCATCACAATTTGAACCATGGCACCCATTTTGAATGTCTTTTTTGTCAACTACACGTCCGCCGAGGGGGATTTATATCTAAATTTAAGAACAGATTGCCATAGCGTGGTTGATGCATGTCAATGTATCTCAGTTGCGTGGATCGATGCTCATGATGTCAATTACTGGATTGTATGGTCCAGACTCGATTATTTA